GTAAGGGTCGGGAATTTGGGAGAGGGTGGAATGCTCACGGAGAGACGAAGGGGCGGTCATCACTCATGAGTGAAGATTCAGACCTTCTGAAGGATCTCCACCTCACCGTGCTTGGGCTCGCCTTTTTCTTTTGGATCGTTCCACGGGTCACTTCTTCACTTGCAATTACTTTATCAGGCCGATACAGACATGTTAGTATGTCGGTGTTTTCGTGCCGTTCGTGTCGTCGGTGGCGAATGTCAAATTCCTTGCTCTGCAACGTGGTAGCCCATCGTCCCATCAGACCCGAGTGATCCTTCGACTTCTTCAAGGCCTGGACTGGCTCGTGATCGATAACCAACGTGAACTTTCGGTCGTATAAGTATGCTCGGAAATGACCTATTCCCCACAATGCAGTCAAGCGTTCCCCCGCTGGCGCATAGTAGTTCCGCTTGCAAGCAAGTACAGTCTTGGAAGCATATTCTACCACGTGTTCATGTCCATCTGGTCCCACATGGGCCAAGATAGCTGAGATGTCCTCAGTCTGCCTATCGGTGATGAGAATAAACAGTTTTTCAGGGTTCAATCCTCATAAGGATAGGGGTCGAAATCGGAGCCACCTTGAGTTTTTGAAATGCGTGATCGTACTGGGGAGTCCAGATCAACGACTGATTTTTTTTTAGCAGGTTCCTGAGGGGTCCCGCAATTGCCACAAATCCCTTGATAAACCTTCGGTAATACTAGGTTAGTCCCAAGAACATACAAACTTGCGTAAGCAACCTGAGCACCGGTGTATCCCTCACAATTTTCACCTTTTGCGGTTATGGCTACAATCCCTTATCAGTAACTACGTGGCTTGGAATGGAGATCTTCGTCATGAAAAACTGGCATTTCTCAAAAGCAACCTTAAAACCTGCATATTTTAACATATGCAATGTTCATTCAATTTGTTGCACATGCTTTTTATAGGTGCTTGAGTACACAAGAATATCATTTATATATACAATTATACAGCTAGGTTTCCTAAGCCGCCCGACAGGGCTCGCACGACCGTGCACCCGTCCAACCAGCACAGCTGGAGGGCTGAACGAGTTGTCGAGCGCATCGGCTCCCACCTTTTCCGCAATGGGGAGAGCCCTCTCGGCCACGTCATGCAGGAGTTAGAACAAGAGCATAAGGAAGAGACAACTTGGGGACGACGCATAAATAATCCCACGAGCCACAAAGGTGGCCTCGGTCGAGTCGTCCCTTTGTCGCTCTAGCCGGGCACGCCAGCTGTACATCCCACAGTCCCCTACGACATGATAGGTTCTCGCGGGGCGTAAGCATTTTATCCCTAATGGGTTGTCACCACCCTTAGGGGTGTATCCCCACCATGCTACCGACCCACGTGTGAAAGATTTTACATGCAATCGCAAAGGTGAGTCAGTCGAGGGCGTTTGCTCACTCGCTGTAGTATAGGTACGGCGATTAAACGCCTATTGAACCAGGACGTCGTTCGTCACTTAGGATGTTGATCTCCTAAGGATGAAGCGTACACCAGTCGACTAGGGCGGTCTTAATTAAGCATGGAGACCACAACTTAACCCTAGTCCCTTACATATAACTTTCACATATATATATATATATATATATATATATATATATATATATATAACTTCTCTAGGCGAGCTCACATACGCCTAAAGCAATACACATATATACAAAGTCATTCTTTCAATTTATCATTTCAACAATCATCACTGTGAAAATCATAGCAAATGTTTAACATGATTGATTAGGTCTGATGAAAAGATCAGGCTAATGTAATTCCTTCTCGTCGTTGATGTAACCTTAAAATATATAGAGTTATCTCATTAAGATATTAAGAGAGAGCTCTTTTAAATCTTTAAACTGAATCTCATACTTAGACCCTTTTTTAAATCCGTCATCAGGGTCACGTTTTCAGGTGGCCCCGTAAGATGCAACGTGAGGTTTTTCATACAAAATGTCTACGGGTAAATTTCAGACTGATGAAAAGTATTTGTTTACTTTTGCTTTCTTATGTATTTACCCCTCAATGCCAAGGCATGATTGTGAAATCATCGGGGTAGTCCGAATACTATCCATCTGGCAGTCCTATCTACATGGAGGGTTTTTTGTTTTTGTTTTTTAGATTACCTCGTAAAGCCATAAATCATATGGCTTCCTCAACGGGATTAGTCTATGCGAGGTGTTTTCCGGAATCGGAGTAAGATTTCGGGAAAGCGGCGCCTAACCCTAGTAAATCAGTCGTCCACCGTGCACCTGAGCCTCCTATAAATCCAATCGAGCAATCTCGTCGTCGTCGAAAACCAAGGTCGTCGCCCGTCCTACTCGCATAACTCTAACGATTCGAGTACCATAGAAGGAGGTCATCCGCGAGGTTAGTTTCCATACTATAACTCAAAGAGGCCGACTCAGCCCAAATTAGTGTCGGGTCTCTGTGTCCCAGATCCGGACAACGCCGAAATGTCTACCAAACGAGGTAATCTTAATACTCACAATGACTCAGAAGAGACATTAGAGGTTACTCACGCGATAAAAATATAAAGTATAACCATAAAACTCATCAGGAGTCCGTGCCGTATTGGCTCGGAAATTCGCGCGAGTGTTAGGGAAAAATCCCTCACCACTTCGGAGTAACCCGATGAAGCCAATCCATTTGGTAGGACAATCGTCTCGAACCCGCAAAAAATATTCCACTCTTCTGATAAGATCGTCCTCGTGTGTGTCACGAACTAGCAGATACCTTGAGACTGTCAAATCCCGCCATGTCCAAGGTATCTGCGCATCAGAACAAAACTTCATTAGTCGCGCAATCGTTCTATGAGTTTATCCTCCTCGTCTTGCCAAACATACTCATAGAATGACTCAGTACGTAAAATGACGAACTTGTTGACACGCACTCTTCTCGCATGGTATATCCCCAAAAATGGACCTTGTCTATCTTTTATCCAAAGCACGAGACGGACGAACATTAGTCTAGTTTCAGGAATCTCGTTGATTCGAGGGTTTAACTCGTAAGGCCGCATTACTACTAAGTTCATGTTCGCGAAATCTCGTTCGGGCAATGGTGGTGCGAATTCATAATGAAGAATATCCAATTCAGCCCTTGACCTAAAAATGAAACGTCTAAGGGGATTTCACGTGCTACCATCCCAAAATCGCGGAATATCCTCATCTGAATACAACTCAAATGGGTTGAAGACAACTCGCCCTATTCTCTCTAACCTCTCCCTATTGCGCTCGGGGGACTCAGCCCATTCTGATGCTGCATCGTGATTGCGGAAAATATGAAAAACAATCGTCCTTTCAGTCATCTGAAAAAACAAACGAGCGTGATTAAGTTAAATTTTTTACCCACTAAGTATTATTCAAACTTCTCTCTTCACGTTGGTCCATGCTTCTTATGGCACGGTCATCCGCGAATAGAGTGCCTAACTGCACTCCGTTTAAAACATGCAGTTCGTGAAAAGTATACATTTCGTGAAAACTGGACTCGAGTCAAAAACTTTACGTTGATTTTTTAAAAAACTTGTTTTAAGGCTGTCACATAGAACATGCATTGAGCATTGTCACAAACATCTGTGCATAAACCTATATTTTTGGTCAAACAATGAGACAACCGAAACACAAAAAAACAAACAACATGTTATTACGAATACATCCAAGCTGCAATTGTTTTGCATAACGACAACTATTTTTTTGCAAATCATATACACAAGTCTGTGGCTGGTGAGGTAATTAGACAACATGCTTATCGAAACGAAATCAAATGAGCAAACATTTCAATAATAAAAGCAAAATGAAAACAAATTGTAAGTAAAAGTTCCAAATATGCCTAACAAAAAACTTTTCCAGAATGAATTTAGATTTCATTTACAAAAAATTTATAATTTCAAAAGTTGGGCGGTAAGGAGCACTACCAGAAACGTCACAAACGGTCCTATAATAAATGGTAACATTACCATTTATTTTCGTCCTCATCATCCTCTCCATCAACTGCGTCTATGAAGTCAGTAGTGTCAATCTTCTCCAAGGTGTTTGCTATCGTGTCTAGAGTATTCGTATACAGCCCTCGGTCTGCTTCCGAGCAAAAGTTAAAACACAGGACTCAACAGTCCCATGCAAAAGTCTGTTCAATCGGCTTGCCTGTCACAAGTCCTCGTGAATCCGTATAGTTAAATGAAAAATGTTTACCATTTTCATTTTCTGCATACCAGTGCCCTATAAACTTCTGATCCTTTAAAACTCGCTTTACTTTCACTATGAAATAAGGCTTCCCATGCTCCTCCTCGTCTCGCCTTGCCCTTACAGCCACAAACGCACCCTCCTTCAAGTCTGCAAAGTCTCCCCTCTGCTCATGAACTCTAGACGTTTTTCTATATCCAACATATAAAGGCCTTTCTGGACTTCGAGGATTTATATCTCCACGTAGCATCTCGGCCTCTGCAAGTCTGTCGGCTGGCTTGTCAGAGTTATCCGAAGCAGATAGGTTTCCACATGGCCAAACAAATGGATGGTGCAAGCAAGTTGTATCGAAGTCTGTATTCTCTTGTTTAGTGAGAAATTGTTCCCACCAAGCAGTAGACTCATCATCGATATATTCCCGACAATGATAAAGTTTTGTCGACACTTCTTTTCTCCTCAGAGGCTTTGATCCTCTCATCCATGCTTCGCACAACATGACGTGGAGCCGCATGCATAGTTCCGTCCGGAAGTGCCTTGAAGATATCCAAGTCGTTGTCATCTTGCGGGTGCCATGACGATGTACAGAATTGCCTACTCCAAACAACAACACTTCTTGCAACATTTCTCTGGATACAAAAATGTTGGTTGAAATTGATATCATGAAGGAGTGCCAAGTGATCTTTCACATAAGCTTTCCAGTCCTAAACTTCAAACACCCGCTCAACATGGACACCAACATATTTGGTGTACGATTGTCTGATCACCGTCTCTAGAGCAGGTAGGTCGTAAGCATCCCTATGCGCCAGAGCTCTAGAAAAGCAGTTGAACATATCGATATTCTCATGTGTGTGACCCACCAAAAGGAAGTTGAGCTTGATTTTTTCGAAAACCTTCATGTGGACCAAGTACACCAGGTTGGCCAAAATGTACTTGTTTTTGTTCTCTCTCGATGTATTGTCAAGAGTCAAAAACAACACCTTTGCAAACGTCTTGGTAGATCCGAAAAAACTTTATGAAGCACGGTAAGCATGGAGTTCGAGTCCATGCTAAAGTTGTCGAACATCATCATGGCGTACGCTCTCTGCAGATGTCCTTCCACCTTTGCACCCACGACATGCACCTTCAAGAAGTCTGCTTCCCTAATCCTCGAATCTTTAGGGAGACGCCGAAAATGAGCAAGATTGGTCTTGCTTTGATCCATCCCATCAACAATAACGGCTACATACTTGTCCGGTGACGACTTGGCTTTCTCACGGCGGTCCATCAGTTTTTGTCTCTCCATCCTTTGTGCTTCAAGATGGTAGTCCAACATTCTTTGGAATTCCTCTCCGGCAACAACACGAAAGATAAAGATGTTATCACAAGGTAGGCAAATGACAAAAGTGGCAACCAGTAGAAAGGAAGCCCAAAGTAGGGTGAAGGAAGAACATAGCATCACGCAAAGCACGATGCATACCTTTCTAAATGGGCGAAATAGCTTTCCCACGTTGTAGCTTTAATTGTGCACATTGGGCACAAATGGAGAATCTGTTCATAGCCGGGATGCAAACCTTCGAACAACGCTTCCTCCACACGCTAAAAAAAAATGAAAGTGACGGGACCACATCACTAGGATGCAGACGACGGAATTGAGCACTGAAAAATTCACAGACTTTCATCTTTGTTGGGCAATCGGTGAGATGAAACCTGTCGGTGTTTGGCATAAACTCTGTGTTCATGCTGAAGTAGGTCTTCATCCATGTACACATAGCCATGTACCTCACAGATGGGCAGCGACTGCCGGAATTGCGATGCACATAACCATGCACGTCGTCACAGACTGCTGCACACACCCTAGCAACTCGCGTCTTGCACAATCCATATAAGCGGCCCCATGCATTCGAGCAGACGAATCGATTGGCGAAAGTGAGACGCAATGTCAACACCGTGTCATCAGCATTGAAGGTCGACACCTTTCTCACCTCCTGTATCAAAAACTTCATCTGTTGAGGCTGTCTCATAGCCCAGAACTTGCTTCTTACATCCAACACCTCCTCCAAACGGATCGTATCCACGCAGCTTCTCACGCAGCAGCCACCACGGAGAGCCGCACAGGCAGCAGCGGCCGTAACAAGCGAACGTGCATTTTTGTCGCGGACACGTCCATTCTTGTTCCTCTTGCCAAGAATGTACTCGGTCTTCCGCCCGAATGCTGTGTAAATTTCTTTCCCATCATGCCCATTAAAGCGATCACCATGGATGTCTTCAACGCCCCCCGAGGGGCAAACCGTGTCCACAAAACTGTCGACGTCAGGAGAAGGTGGAAGATCCGTGAGGTCGAGCGAAGAGAAAACTTGGAAGGCGTCGGTCTGTAAGGGCTCACAAAACACTCTTCTTCTCTCAAGCACGAGCGGATCAGAGAAGAGACGTTTAATCCTCTCCACGTTCTCCATAGCTCCGACATCCATCGCAAAATGTCGATGCACGCATTCCACACCAGCGGCAGGAAGCAGGAAGTGTCTGCCCAGTCTTGACGACAACAAAAATCATCAGACCATGCACGCGAACCGGACCCAACACAGCGACCAACAGACAAGTGAAAGACCTTGTCGGGACCCGGCAAGCATGAGACAGAAATGAAAGGAGCAGTCGGGACCCAACAAACGCACGTCGGTGCTCACCGACCAGCTCGGAAGGATGTTCAAACCGTCGGTTGATGCGTCCAAAACACTTTTCGAAACCCCGCCCAAGCGGGAAAGAACCACGTGAATTTTTTGTGCACTTTTCACAAATTTTCGTTGTTCCCTCCGAAGCCCGAGGGGGAGCCACCAGCAGGGCACGGTAATGAGGCGTCCATGAAAAGTGCGAGAGATGACAACGAAAAAAGGCAACCAACTTTTTTGGCAATTTCACGACCCCTATGAACACATGGAGGACACACTAAGTAACCGACCGCAAAACGTGGACCGAGGATGCAAGGGCCAGGAAAAAACGAGGCTGAAGGGATTCATCCACGGTACCAGGAATGGCACCAAAAAGAGGAATTCAAGGCCAACGATCCGTATTAAAAATTCGAAAGGGAACGAGGCCGAGGTGAGCACAAAGTGCGCCGAACCCAGTAAACCAGGCCGAGGCACCTAGAGGGAGCACAAGGCAGGCCGAAGGATCCGACGACCAGACGCGGACAATGACCACGGGTAGCAGCCCGTGTGGCAGGTAGAGCGTCAAGAAGCAGCAGTAGCGGAGACGGGCCAGAGCGCGAAGAGGGAGGTCCGAGGGAGGCGGCTCGGAGAGCCAAGAAACTGTAGCCCGGAAGGGGGTAGGGCGCCC